TTCTGTGATTCTGTGATTCTGTGATACTAACATTAAATGTGCAATTACTACTGGTTTTGGTTCCCAAGCAGCAGAGTTTGTTCATTAGCTAGTTAACTATTTTTCTTCATTGACACATTCCCCTTTTCCTTGTTTCACCTCAGCCATAAGGATCTGAGATGGTGACTTGTCTGTCTTGGGGTTGACTCCAAATTCCTTCTTTTGAATTGTAATCATGTTCTGGGGAAGGGCAGAGGAGGTGGGAAGGGAAGGGGGAGCAGCAAGGGAGGAGATCAAAGCTGCAGTATCACCAGTTTTAAACGTTAGTAACTCGTGTTAAGTTGTTACTAAGGTCCTGCACAATAGGATTTTCTCTTGACCCTTCTCTGTATGTCGTCGGTGGGAGGTGAACTGAAAGGAGGAACTGTGAGATTGTGAGCACTTTTAAATTTTCTTACAGAGAAAACCTGTGTTATCTGAGTTAAAGGAATCAGCCCCATTAGCTCAAGGACGATTACTTACAAGGTGCTTAAATGCTTTTACAGTGAGGAGATTCTGAAAGGTCTAAAATGAATTAATTATTAATGCATTCTAATAAGTGTCCATCCAAGAGAGACTATGCAGGGAATATTTGCATTGGTTTCAATAGATATTGGACTGGATTTTACATAAGCACTTAACAATAACAGATATAAAGACATTATTAAGATATCAAGTTTAAATTGAAAGGTCTATTAGCAGTATTAAAAAACAACCCAGAATTCTTATAGTGCTAGCTCAAGATCCTCCTGTCAAGGCTTCAGGAATATTGTGTCCATACAGCATGAGAAGACTCAGCAATCAGCAAAATTTATGGATTAATCTGATGAAGATAAAGATTTAAAATATAAAATATTAAGACTTTCAAAGAAGACGGAGTCTGTGCTTCTATGCTGTTATTTTTACCACTTGTGTCAAGGACAAGGAAAAACATTACAGTGAATCAATGCACACTGTATGTTACAAATACAGAGAACCTTTGTTTTACGAGGCCTTCTCATCTCTAGGAGAAAAGCATTAACATAGTAAACTGTATTTTAGCCAGGCTGATGCATTTGTTTATTGTTTCCAGATGGGAAAACCTGTGTAGGTGGATTCCTCACATAGGTAGTATCCGATTATTTCTCAAGTAGTAATTCATAGACTACTGGTGGTCCATGGAGTACTTCCAGGTGTCTTAAAGAGGACTTCTAGTAGCAAAGTACTGCTACTTTTCAAACAATTGTGTTGTAACATGGGAAAATATCTTGGGTTTTTTTTGTTATGAAGTATCTTGCAGTTACAAATACAGATTTTCCTCAAGAAGGCTCAAGGGGATATTATCTATGTGTATTCAAACTGATGGGAGAGTGTAAAGAAGATGGAGCCTCTTCTTGGTGGTGCCCAGTGGCAGGACCAAGAATGGGCAGAAACTGAAACACAGGTGGTGCTGTCTGAACATCAGGAAACACTTTTTCACTGTGAGGGTGTCCGAGCACTGGCACAGGCTGCCCAGAGACTGTGGAGTCTCCATCCTTAGAGATAGTCAACCAAACTGTACATGGCTCTGAGCAACCTGGTCTAGGTGACACTGCTCTGAGCAGCGGGGGTTGGACTAGCCAATCTACAGAGGTCCCTCCCAACCTCACCTGTTCTGTGGTATGTTCGTTTGGTATAGATGGAAGCCGTCCTATGCAAACAGCTGACTGCACTGATGATAGGAATGAGTTCAGCAATTTTAGACTAGTCTTGTTCGCAAGGTCAGAATGCCTGCAATAAGCAAGATGTTACCTAATAATTCATCTGCCCCAATAATTTAGACTCTTCTGGTGGTGAAAGATTGCTAATTTAGCTCTTTGGCACTACATTTATCAATAGGCAGAAAAGAAGTGTGATTTTCCTTATCTTTACTTGTGGGGTAATTGAGGCACAACAGGCGACATGAAAATGGAATTGACTGGTCCCTGGAGAGCCTACGGAGAATAATAAGTAAATAAGGCCAAATCTAAAATAGACATATTGATCAAAGTAACTCCATGCACTTACTTCTGTATTTTCTTCCTGTAATTTAATAGCATTGTCTTGCTTTCTCTAGAATTAACAATTTTTTTTTTTCTGTGCTGTAATGTTAAGCTGGATTGCTTCTGTATTACGTAGTTTTTGTACAAAGTTACAAAAATATCTACCTCCTTGGCAATGCATATGTGGACATGTATCTTCATGGTAATTTAAAGATTGCTTTTAGATTTTGTTACCATAGGGTAATATATGGAAATACACATTGCAGGCTACAATTTTTTTTTAAGACTTACCAAAAGCTATGCTTCTGAAAAGCACCTGAGTTAAGATCTTTGCTTAAAATTGGCTTCTTGGTGCAATTGTTCAGTTTTTGTCCCATCATTCGCCTAATTAAAGCATCATCCGTGTTTGGAAACAACTGTTTTGTGATTCCTGCAAAATAAAGAATTGATATATATATATATGAGGCCTCCAAATCAGGCAAACCACACATGTATGTTCTAAAATGCATTTACTGCATCTTTGAAATTTCCAGCTACGCCAGTTTCAGCCCTAGTTACTTTGCTGTCTTTACTCACTATTTCATAGATTTTGCACGTGCCAGCTCTTGCTTTTCTCTGTGCCTTCCATATTGCTGTGCCTGCTCTTGGCAAACTCAAAGGGAACTCCAGGGCCACAAGGGCTTCCTGTAGTGATTTCATTTGTGTTTGGTCATCCTCTCTTTGTTCTGTTCTTGATCAAAGAGTCCTATTCCTATCCTTGTCAATCCTCATGCCTCTGAACCTTGCAGGTTTTGTTCATTAATTTTCATTTGCAGGTGATGTCTCCTTCTCAAACATTCCCCTTCTGTTTTGCCTGGCTTTTTCTGAATGCAAATAACCTCGTGGGACCCAACATCAGGAATGCATCTCCTGCTCTGCTCTTCTCCATCATCTCTTCTTCCCTTGTTTCCCCCCCCCCCCTTTCCTTTCATTTTGAAGTCTTATAGTTTCCATCTTCTTTAAATAATCTGACCTACTAACTCATTTTCTACAGTTCTAGAACTCCCAGGATTCCTTCTTATTTTTCTTGTTCTCTTGTATAATGTTGACACTTTTCTATTTGAATTCAGGAGTGTTCTCATTCCCCTTAACAAACATAGACTTCTCTATAGGCTCCCTTTTTTCATTGAATTCTCTGCAGCATGCTGTATTCGATGTCCTGATTATCTTCTCTGCCTCTCTTTTCAGTTTTGCCTAGACCCTTCCCCAGAATCTACCTGTAGAAAAGTCATTAGAAGCTCTTAGAATCATAAAATAATTCAGGTTGGAAAAGACCCTTAAGATCATCAAGTCCAACTGTTCTCCTCATCCCATTAAATCTTTTAACATTTTGTCATAGGGCATTCTGAAATTGTCTCATCTTACCGTCTCTAAAAATATTTTCACCATCTTACACACCCTTTCCGTTTCTCTCTCTTGAGTTTGGGCCTTTTTCTCTAGTTAGGTTCTTAAGGAAAAGACGTTCCTGCAACTGTGAAACTGCTGGCCAACTTCAACAAACTGGACCAAGCTACAGGAACTAGAGCTAAGCTGGGGAGGGAACTGAGAGAACTGGGGAAGCCCAGGGGAATGGCAATGGGCGAGGGATTCTAGAACAGGAATTTGGGCTGTGTTGTTCAAGTATTAAGCTATAAGTGTAAATTCAAATAAAAATCAGGCTTCATGTGCTCATAAAATACTGTTTTCTTTAAAGCTGCTACTTCCATCTGAAATTATTCTCTTTCCTATGCATGAAACATTTTTTGCCTTGAGCCTCAGCATAAAACAAATTTTGTTTGCTTCTCTGATCACTATTGCTGTCTTCTATACTTATTGTCTCATTTTGCCTCCAGCACTATTTAAAATGTCAGAATTCATAGCATTCACCAACTTCAGAATACAGCAGACATTATTTTAAATTTGATCCAAGTGTGTCCTCTCTTCGCCTTCCCTTATCTGTTAATCATCATGCTCCAAGTTTGACTGTTGTAGATTAACCTTTCAAAGGCTAAGATAAAATATAATATCACGGTGCTGAGTAGCCACGTGAGTAAAAACCACAAAATTCACACAGTAGAAATATGACAACTTAGCATTTCACTGACATTATTTGTAACAGATGGGTTAAGTACGTAGCTGAAGCAGGAAATATAAAACATATTGCACATCACCTGAGCAGACCAGCTGTTAAACATGACAGCCCCTCCCTCAGAGAAAGCTCTCTGTCAAGCCAGTGCCACATTGAGTAATGTTAACAAGCCATCACCTATGATTTCCTGAACTTCATTCTGATTCATAGCTGGTTTCGCCACTTTATCCTTTGAAGAGGAGGACTTTGCACCTGTCAGGCTGTGTGTAGCCATGTATTCATGTGTATAAAGTGCTTGCATCAAGTCATTTATAAACTTCTGAGGTTTGCTCTTGTTACAAAGTGCAATCTGCCACTTTTCGATCTTGAACTGGAAAAGAAAATTGGTCATAGACATAATTAATGCAGTTCTCTAGAAATATTATGTAGCATTAACTCTGAAATATATTTTTTACAATTTTATTTTTTTTAAAACCACAACTTCAAAAGTAATCTCTGCAAACTGTGTGCTTCAGATCAATGCTAAATTTGCACACCACTCAACATTTGCAACTGTACACGCAGGTTGATTTTTTTCCAGAAGCATGTGTGGGGCAGACTAAAGATCCCTATTCATCCTAGCAAACACTTCACCAAGCAATCCTTATTACTCACTAGGGGAGACAGGACACGTTCAGACATATCTAAATCCTTCTGTTGCACTCCATGCAGGCTGGCTGTGGTCCAGTTCTGGCCTGGAATCTGTACAGCCTCGGGAGCATGGCACTATGCCCAAGCCAATATTCTTGCCTCCGAGCAGACGGAGGGTCCTGGGCTCTGAGAGTGACTTCTACACACAACACTTGTGCAACCCACGTATCTGAACTCTCCTCATGGGCAATTTTGAGCTACCTCTATTAAGTAAGGCTAAGTTGCTTAAAAAATTCATTCTTTTTACTTTGTTGGAGATGTTAGGTCAAGTGTTGTGTATTGCAATATGCAGTCAAAACATCATATTTTGATAATTTGTAATAGATTTCTTTGGTTTTGGGGACCCCTTGACAACACACAAGAATGACTTCCACCAACTGGCATGACTCAGTGCACAAGAATGTTTATGTAAATTGTGCATGAAGAAGCTGGAATTATTCTTTTTGTTGGGTTTTTACATTTTTCAGGTACAATCTCTGTGCCCGAGATTTCTCAATTATGTTCTGTTATAATTACAGAGAATAAGGGAACATCTCTATTCAGTATCTTCATATATATATGTATACATATATGCGCGTCCAGAGGAGGGCTGTGAAAATTATCAAAGGCCTGGAACACCTTCCCCATGAGAAGAGGCTGCAAGAGTTGGGGTTGTTCAGCTTGGAGAAGAGAAGACTCCGAGGAGACATGATTGCGGCCTTTCAGTACCTAAAGGGGGCTTATAAGAAAGATGGGGATAAACATTTTAACACGGCCTGTAGCAACAGGAGAAGGGGTAATGGTTTATAACTAAAAGAGCAGAGGTTTAGACTAGGGTGGTGAAACACTGGAACAGATTGCCTGGGGAGGTGGTAGATGCCCCATCCCTGGAAACATTCAAGGTCAGGTTGGATGGGGCTCTGGGCAACCTGATCTAGTGGAGGATGTCCCTGCTTACTGCAGGGGGGTTGGACTAGATGACCTCCATGGTCCCTTCCAACTCCAACTATTCTATGATTCTATGACTCTAAATACATGTATTTCTACTTAGCTGCTGGCCAGTGTCTGGAACAAGAGCAGAAACAGACCATTCTCCATTTACTTATTAACAGGTTAAACAGACTGCTGGTATTTTTCTTAGATTATCTCTGAAACACTACCATTCCCCTTCAGCATCCCAAACATTAGGCTGGAAGTTATCCCTGGATCTCAGTATTTTCTTCATGCATCCTCATTCTGCCCTTAGTCACAGATAGGCAAAGGCACTGAATCCAAAGTGAGTTTGGGCCAGCACACTGAATTAATTCTAGTGTTTCTCGTGGAAGGAGTCTCCTACACAAAAGGAGCTCATCAGTCACATCATCCACTGAATTATGATAAAATGATCTTTATTAATGCTTATTTGTTATATTTGTTACACTATAACAGTGAAGTTTGTACTGCATCAAGCTTTATATTTTTGTGCCTGAAATTGCCTTTTAACTCACCTGTTTTTCGGTTTGTTGATCCTCATCTTCCACATTCAAAGTTATTGGTGAGTTGGAGTTACTATGCATAGCTGCATATGTATCTGCTAACGAATTGTTAGATGCTTTCCAAACAGCATGTGAATGCAGACTGGATGTAGATGATGCCACTCCTCCTCTGAGCAGCGCTTCAGCCATCCCTACCAGTTCCTCAAAATGGGTGACTGCCTGTGGCAACACTGAAATCAAATGGAAAGTGATGGGTAAAAGTAATTGAAGCTTTCAGACTGTAATTATGTAAGGATGTATATTTTTGTAATTAGATTTCCATCGTATTGCAAAAGAGTCAAAGCAGTCAGCAAAGATGCTTTAACATAATTTTTTCCTATTCTCTCAAAGCTTTTCCTGCCATTTGGCCTGTTTTTAGAAAGGATGGATCACTTCCCCAAAAGGCTAAGAAGAACCATTACTTTAAGCGCATCATGGCACTAAGCTGGCTGTTTATCTCTTCTCTTTTTGCTATCTCAAAATCTCTACAAGCCTGTAAAACTAATGAACATGGGCTAAGTAATGTTATGTCTGGTTTTCGGTGTGTTTTTTTGTTTGTTTTTTTTTTTCCTTCAAATAAGTTACACAGACTGCACAGACTTTTTTTATCCTCTTTTTAATCTGTAGAGAATATCTTTTAAATAGCCCTTTCTCCAAGTAATATTTATTTTCAAATATAAACTTTTATTGACTCCATTAAGAAGAATCAATTCAGCAGAGTGAAAAGGATGCAAGGGATGAAGAATCAGCAAGACAGAGAATCATTAAATCACAGAAAATACTGTAGAAGTCTAATACAAGTGCTTAAGATGTAAGGCAAATGGACCTAAATGCGTAAAAAAAGTTGTCAGATGCTAATAAAATGTTTAAAAATAATATTCAGAAAGGTGGATATGCATGATTCAAACCAAGATGAATAACATGGAATGGAATCAGGTGGGCAATGGAACTGATAAGCACTTGCCAAATCATATGACAATAAAAAAAGAGATTAGAAGTACTAGGCTGTGTAGGGATGTATGATGTAGCTGGCAAGGGAAGGAACGAATACTCTTTAAATCTAATTCATTTGCTAATGGTTTGAAATTTTTGATTCAGTCTTGGCTGCCCCAGAGTAAGGGACAGGGACAAGTAAGAGGGGCTTCAGAGATGATCGTTAAGTGATGAAAGATTCATTTATAAAAGAACAAAACCTCTGGGAAAGGACTAAATTTGTTGCACCTGGAACTAACTCAGATTATCAGTAATGAGGAATTACCAAAGTAATTAGAAATGAAATAATTCCAGAATAAATAAAATTTAAATAGATCAAGAAAGACTGCTAATAAATAAGGTAATAGTTGGACAGGTCAGTCTGAGCTTAGCCAATGGTTATACACAGCGTACAGAAAGGTTCTCTTGGGAACAACTGACAGGATTTAGACAGATTTTTCCGTTTCTGACTCTATGATTGCATGGCTCCATGTGAGACAGTTCTGTCTAAGTGCTGCTGGAATTAAATGTTGCCATGTATCAAAGACTTTGATGCTAATGGTAGGCCTTGATTGTGACAGGTGCTTGAGCATCCATAATTCCCATCTAACTGGCCTCTTATAAATCAAGCTTTTCATGACCTTCAGGCTTTCCTCTTCATCAAAATATTTCCCCTGACCTTACCTTGAAGCATCACCAGGGACTGTCTTAGGCGGCAGTTTTCTCTCATGGTGTCTGTCAGCTTCCTCTTGAGGCTTTTTATTTTGGCACACAGCTCTACCTTGGATAGTTGAAATAAAGGCTCTTCATCATCACTGCTACTTTCACTGTACAGAAAGTTGCTTCCTGAATATTGTTCTCTCTGAAAAAAACCACCATGATATTTAGAGCAACTACAACATTAAAGCATTAAAAGCCAACATTAAAATATCTGGCTAAATCTGAATATTGTCTTTATACACACAATGTATACACAGACTCAGTGCATTTTAATAATAGCTGTTACTGAACATAGATATTACCATTCCTACTAAAATTCAAAATGAAATATCAAGGTAATACATGACAGTTACGTACTTCTTTCTCTGTTCTCCTTTCACTGATTTTCTAAAGTAATGTATTTTAAAACCATTAACTTCACTAAAACAGAAGTCTTATGCCCCCCTAAAGAAATACATTTCAGTTTGCTTTTGCTTCATACATTAAAATCGCTGAAGATGAGATGTTAACCTGTTTGTTAATTAAAGATGTTTCAAGTTGACTCAGGATGTTGTCAGGAGCAGATGTCTGCAATGGTTTCTTTCTTTTTATATGCTTCATCATCTTCCCCTGTAAACAAAAGCATAACAGTGCCTTTGCATTCGTATGGAGCCTTTCATTACAGTATCTCACTGTATACCACGAACTTTTATTCACTGTGCACTTGGCATTTTGGTTAGCATTTTTGAAAAATGTGTTTGTAACTTTTTGTTAAGATTTATGCTTTCTTTCCTTACATTTTGTCACAGCAGATCTCAGCACAATGCAAAGCTGAGAAAACTTGGTCCCTTCCCTTTCTTATGCAGTGGTCAGATTTCTGTCTTATGGGAGAAAATGTAATGGGGCTACAGAGCCTCCAAGTCTTGAAAAACACTTTTCTCCTTAAATAGCACAAAATGAAATCTATTGTCCTAAGTAATTACTCTGATAGGTTACTCTGCCTGTATTCCTACCTTTACTATACATATTTTGTGTATTATATTGTGAACAATCAACAGTTACAGTCTATCTAATTCCATTATGGGCCTACCAATATCAGGCACACAAAGACAGAAACTCACCTGTTTTTTATCCAGGTCACTGTCCTCACTTTCTGAGAATATCATTTCTATTCTCTTCCTCTTGCCTTTTCCAAGGACTTGTATTTTTGTAATTTCATCAGCTCGTAATATCTTTTGCATCATTTCCGCCAGCTCTTGGGGGTCATCTGAAGCGATGGGAAAAAAAAAGAACAAAGCACGGAAAATCAGGTAGGAATGCCTTCCACCTGGATTAAAATTCCATATCAGACAAATGCTCTGGAACTGCACTCACCACTCATGTACACAACTTTCACCAGGTGCTTTTCTGTCTTTCTTTCTCCCACAGGCCAGTTTACTAGCACGTGCTCATTTGGTTTCACAAGTCTTTCTAGTTCATTGTCATCGCTGGGAAGGTCCTGTATCCATGAAGTCTCTCCAATTTGCAGTGAATTATGATTTACAAAATCAAACAGTGTGAATTTTTTCATTGTTAAGTGGTTTTCTTGTCACACAGACACTGCCTGCAGGATGTCATAGGAAAAATAACTGTTACCATGTCAGGCCACAGGAATGGTACAAGAATACTTTAAAAAGCCCCAAACAATGCTCCTATTCCTCCATTTTGGTAATTACCTTGTATGAAAATATCCTGGATAAGGAAGTGAAAACTAGCCCAGCAGCATGTTGTATCTTCCCTGAAAGATGGGCGAGGGTCTGTTGTGTGTGTGTACATCAGACAGTTGCCTCCAAAACTGTGTACACTAAACAGCCTTCACTCACAGAGCCCGTGCTTCTGTATTACTACCATGCCTAATCTGTCTCCTGCCCAGGATCTCTATTACTGCTGCATTTGCTCCCACTAAAGTTTTCAGTCCAGCCTTGACTAAAAAATACAGGTGTGGCAATTTTCCCTAGAACGAGGGAAGGTACTGGCTCTACGTGGTGTTAAAGGGGACGGATGACTTCCAGGGCAGAATCAGCTCATGGGCAGCAAGATGTACAATTGCAGCCATGAAAAACCAACCCAGAACAACTGACTGGATGAGGTATGACACATTCTGGCAGTGGAAAACTTGATGTACAAAAAGAAATGACAGGCTGAGGACTGGAAGAAAGCTGGGCTGCTTCATCAGGAACAACAGCAACGAGGAGAACTCAGGCCCAAATACACAGCTAAAGCCCTTGCTTACATAAACCAATATTTTTAAAGCAAAGGACCATTTTTGGGCTTTGTAAAGCACTTAAGTCCACACTGTGAGAAGGGAACAAGTCATACTTTGTGCTTTATTTTTCTAATTAAGCTGATATGCCTTACATGAATGTGTGAAATGTAACATACATTATTAAACTCTACTGGAAATGTAGCCGGTTGATTTAAGTGCTTCCATTATACTCAGGTAAAATATTTTCTACTTTAAAATTATTAAATCAGATAAAGCCAATAAATACAAAATCTGATTTTGTCAAACCTTAGTCTTCTTTCCAACAAACATATAGTCTGGCCTGTCAGTTCACAGAGGTGAAGTCATTTTACAGAGCTGCAAACTCATGAATTCCCAGATATGACAGCGTGATCTGTGATTTACTTGGCCTCAATCAGCCGGAAGCAAATCTCGTGCCTCATGCAGAGGCTGTTAAAAAGGTAACTCAGAGCTAGGAAAGGAGAATTATGTGGAGCTATTATGTCAAAGTGACAAAATCTGGCTGCAGTGCTCTAAGAAGCAGTGTCAATCCTTTTGCAGAAGCCCAGCTCACCACTATTCACCATGCCTGTCTCCTTGAAGGAGCTGGCTTTTCACACAGGGGTGAACTTGTTCATTTGCAAAAGACAGCTGCGCTCTTGTCAACATGTTTACCGATACAACGAGGCAAGCGGCGTAAGAAATAGCCATTAAAAAGAGTATTAAATCATGCTTTTATGCAGAATGTGTCAAGGGTGATAGCAGTAGAATTGCTAAGTACCGCCCTGCCGAAGAAAGCAGACTGTGTTTACAGGCATTCACATTAATTTTCTTTAAAGAGTGTTAGAAAGACCTGGAAACATCCATCCCGTGTGAAGTCTGGAGAAGCAGCAGCCTGAATGCCTATGCCTAGCATGAATCACCGGAGCCCTCATTCTGCCACTGATCCATGCCGAGTGGCTCCTCATGCCACAGACAGGGATCATTCAAATGAGTGGTAAGATCCAAAATGAAACAGTGTGTTTGTCCAAACAACAATATACTAGACCTAAAACAGCTGGTGTACGCAATCACATTGGGTATCAGTATTTTTCCTTCTTTTTCAAACTGCTTTTGAGTATATACCACAAGCCAGCTTAACATTTCTTACCTGGCACAAAGATGTTAACTTCTACCTCAGATCAGCACAGCAACCCCTATCACCCACTTCTTTGATTCTCAGATGAAGTGTTTTGAGCTTTCCCTTCCTTGGCCCTTGGCAGTTGCAAGCTACTTCATTACCCTCCTAAAAACCCACATAAGGTCAACAGAATTGCAGCAAAGTTAGAGCTGCCAGTGTGCTAACACTAACAGATGCTTGACTGACTTCTGTATTTTTTTAATGTTTCCCTGTAGTCCTCTAACAGTCTGTATGTTGTCTCCCATTTTGTATTGAGACAAATATTGTCTGAGCCACGGGACATTCTGGTGGTCTGCACTGGTCCAGGGTTAGGAAGCCAGCCCAGGATTTCCAGGGATGCACAGAATACACAAGCTGTTCACAGCATGGAGGGTAAGTGACGATTCCCCACGGCACCGGGGCCATTCACATGCACACTGTGCCAACACTGTGCACAGCAGTAGCCAGTCCAACAGCTTTTGGAAGATACCAGCCTTGCGTACGTGTCCTACAGCTTAATGAAGTCAACGGACATGTGGAATTCTGAATGTTTGGAGACCACGAAAGCAGACTGGTGCCACTGGTAGACACCGGGAAGGCCATGGCCAGCAAAATACCTCACCCAGTCTTTACACCAGACAAGCACCTGGATCCACAAAAATACATCCTGCCATGAAAAGCTAGGGACAATTTTCACCGTGGTCATGGCAGGACTCGGAGCTCAGCAATTTGTCTACATTACCTGTAAAGCTCTCTTGAGCTGTGCAGATTTCTGCCTGTGGTGGGAGGGTGTACTAGTAAAGAGCTAAACTGATTTCACCAAGAGTCTTAACAGCTGCCAAGTTAAAATATAAGCTACATAGGATGCTGAGGGAAATAAGGAATGGATTTCACAAATAGTCATGGGAGGAGGGATGGGGTCAACCCACTCCTTTAGCTCCCAGCAGGAGCTCAAAAGCATCCGAAAGCCTCCTGGAAGCTTTCCGAGGCTTGTGCTCAGTCCTGTTGCTCTGGCTGAAGGGACCAAGGCAGGAAAGCCGTTGTGGGGAAGCACTGGCAATGGGGCAGGTTGCCTGTCCTCTGCTGGGCATCAACCCCACTGCTTGCATTATACGTAAAATAGTGGAACTATTACATTGCCAAATAAAAGGAACAGAGTACAATAGTTGATTGTTAGTATTTTCCTGTTATGGAGCTATGGCTTCAGCTCCCCCAACAGTCATTAATCAAACTGTGTCTTTTCACAGAATTCATCGTGACAATCCATGGGCCCTGGGGGTAATACCCAACTGTTTGCTGGCATCATCTCTAACCAGTGATTCAAAGGGATGGAAAGGTAGAACAAAATGTCTTTAATGAAGAGAAGGAACAGTAAAATACTTCACTTATTGGAAGAGAAGTCCTGCAGTGTTTTCTTACCCTGTTTTCCCACTAGAGTCAATGTGAACCTTATCTGAGTCAAGACTGCTGCAGATGTCTCCCTCTAAAATATTTTATTTGCCAAAACAGATCAAAGGCAAAATATAGTCTATCATCAGGAAAAAACAAATATCTTGGGGAGTGAGATTAATCTTATCAAACTTTTACTGCCTTAAAAGTGAGAGGTTGTCTAGCCACGTTTGGCTCAGTCACCACAGAGGCAGGGGTGATTCATCTCACCCAAGACACATATTTAAAAAACAGCAGATGACTTACTGTCTGGGAGAGCCTGTTTCTCTCCACTGACTATTCAATGACTATACAGGGGTAGGTATGCCTCCTTATAGAAGCTGGCTTGGTCCAACTCATCCTGTATTAGCTTTTTCTACTTTTTAATAGATTTGGAATAGTAGGATAGATTCCAGTAGACCTTCTGCTACAGGGAGCCAAAAGGATGGAGTACAAAGTCTGTTAAAGTGTATCTGGTTCTCTATTTTAAACTCTTTCTAACACAGTTCTGCAAGTCATCAAGTAAGATTTCTGACACTGAGTGCTCTGTTCAGTGGGTTAATTGGAAGATACATAATCATTTATAAACATTACCCTGTGCAGCTACTAACCACAGAGACAGAATTATATGACCTTTGAAAGCCACTTATGTTTTGCAAGTTACTTAATTCTGCTATATTCTCCATTTGAAAACACTAGCTACTTATTTGAGAAGTACTGAAATGCAAATTTATGATTTCTCACTATTCTAAGACACAAATCTGTCTTTACTTTTCCTAAAAGTGGGTAATTTGTAGAAGAGGGGGGAAAAAAAAAAGGAAGGAGCCATTTACTTTTAAAGCTCTGCAGAGGAAACATTAATTGCATTCTTAATTTTTACAAACATGTTAACACCACATTCTGCACAGATGCTACGAATTTGCACACAGAGTTTTGTTACTAAGCAACCCAAAAAGCCAGAAGAAAAAAAAAACCACAGAAGTAATTTATTTAAAGACATATCTTGCCCTTTGACTGACATAGTCTGTTCCATTCAGCCAGAGAGTTGGCAGATACCATGCTGAGATCATTATTTCTTTTCCCTTTCCGTAAACACAGTGTAAAGTATTACAAATTTACAACATGAGATTGTAGGCCCACTCAATGGGTCTGATTCTGCTGCAGCTTAAAATAGGGCTTGGCCACTCATTTCGGCAAAACAAGAAACCATACCATAAGCGTGCAACAGAGAGCCACAATAAAGTACTAACATTTTATATTGTCTAGCCTCTAAGTTCAGCCTTCAGTAATCCCAGTTTTCCTTGGAAAAAAACCCACCTTTACTGAGCTAGAAGTTATCTCACTCAAACTATTTATTTCCAATTCAGCATAATGAGTGGTAGTCACAGATT